ATTTACTGTTACCTTTGTGGTAATTGAAAAGAAGCTTCCTACTCTCTGCAATTTTTAATTATTTTTTTTTTAAATCTCAGCCTAATTCTTTTTCCCTTATAAACTGGAGCGTGCTCAACCCTGTCGTCCTACCAGAAGAGATTAAAAATATTGAGGTGACCTCAACAGTGCAAAATTTCTGTGGAATTATTTAACATCAGCAAAGACCATCTCACAGATTCTTAAATAAAGATGGAACAGCTACATTGAACCTCGTTCTTCCTCATTTTTCAGCTGTCCTCAGCAGAGTCATCTCTCAACCCACTCCAAACCCCTAAATCCCATTTGAAGTCAGTGATTCATCGCTTGCTGGCAGACAATTAGGGAAAGGTCTGCATTATGTAATGAAACTAAATTCACTTTTTTCTACTTTCACTTCAGTTGTTTAAACAGGCTACGAAAGTCCCCAACAAAACAAAACACTGCAGCCTCCATGGGAGGTTTCGGGGAGCACATTTTTCCCATGATTAGAATTCTGTTGGCAGTATTTTTCCTCAGTTTATTTCAATATTAAGACACATTAGGGAAAGGTCTGCATTATGTAATGAAACTAAATTCACTTTTTTCTACTTTCACTTCAGTTGTTTAAACAGGCTACGAAAGTCCCCAACAAAACAAAACACTGCAGCCTCCATGGGAGGTTTCGGGGAGCACATTTTTCCCATGATTAGAATTCTGTTGGCAGTATTTTTCCTCAGTTTATTTCAATATTAAGACACATTAAATAACACATAGGTATTCCTTTCCAACTGTAACTCGTTGCTCCACAAAGAATTCCATCACAGAGAAATCTAAAAGTAAAAAACAATTGCTAATTACTTTATGAAAGCCTTGCCCACTTGTTCATTAGAATTTTTAAGTACAACTATCACAATTATATATTTTTTTTTAAAAAAATATCCATTTTCAGATCTTATATGTGCAACTTTTTACCATCGCTTTAATTCCACACTACAGGAATTTAGGAACTCTCTTAAATCCTTGTGAAAATAAAGTCACTTTGCATCTAAGCTGAAGCTGCTTTTCTAATTCCAGAGCAAGATCTATTTTATATTTCAAGCTATAGGAAATTATTCATCCAACCAGTAAATCCTCCAGCATCCTCAACATCAGACAAGCGAATAAGCACTCTTAAAAAATAAAGAAAGCAGCAAAAGGAAATCTCAGGTCACTTATTCCTAAGTTTACACACACACACAGAGCGTGTTCACACTTGCACATTCTAGACGTCATCTATAGGAAATCAAACGCTTCTGCCAGATTTTCTAAGTAAGTCTAAATCCCGTCCCAACAAGGTACTTCGCCACGCGCCCAGTTTTTAAGAGTGAAACGTCCCACGGCTCAGTGCCATGTGGTTCAGTATGTCGCTGCAGCACAGCTTTAAAAATAATCACTAACACATGGAACAGTAAGAAACGTGTTGAGCCATTTGACATTACCAAACTGAACAAAAAAGCACAGAAATTTTGTTTTAGCGCATTAGAACACCTCGACAAGCAGGCCAGAAAAGACCATTTCCTACCAAAAATGGGGGGGGGGGGGGGTGTCGACACAACTTTTTCCAGGAGGCTGGGCAGGGCACAAACAGAATCTGGTTTGCTTCCTATGGGATCACACACGTCCATCCATATTCAGCTTCTGCCATGACACAGCACAGAAAATATGTTTGCTAATGTCATTTGTGGCGCACGTTCGTATCAACAAAATGGAGAAATTAAGGCTCCTGGTGGCGCAAAATTCAAGTATCATTTTCAAGGTTTTTTTACTCTTTCAAGGTGACTAAAAAACCCCAACGACCCTTTTCCATAACATGAGTGCGGAACGAGCAATCCCACATTAGGACGACTTCACAACGCAAACTCTTCCCCAAATCCACGCGGGTGATACCACACGAGAAACAGTAAAGCACTCACAGCCACCAGCTCCCCCACCTCAGCCTGGGGGGCAGCTTCTGAGAGGCCACAAAATACACCAAGTAACACCCTGCTTCAGAGAATACGGTTTATATTTACCATGTTCTTTTTCGTCTTATCTCTTAAATTACTCCCTTGCAGCTCCCATTACGACTCCCTTGTAAAGGCCTCCAAATACACACTTAAAGCCAAGTTTAGCTGACACCCAATGCAACCAATGCTGATCCTTTATGAAACAAAGGCTTTCTTTTTTTTAAAAAACAATCTGCAGAGTATCTTTCCTCACGTTATTGCCCAGGAAAATCATCTCCATTTAACAAAAGCTGCATTTACTTCACAGACTCTCCAAAAACCACGAGGAATGAAGCCTAAACTTCTCCTAAACCACCTCTCTGCTCATTTTTCGCAGCACCTGAAGGTCAGTGCCACACACAAAAATTCTCACGAGTGTTTAACACCCACAAGTTTCCACAGGCTCCAGCGTTTGTCCCCAAACACGCACAGGAGCATGGATAAGAGCCACCTCCCAAGTGTACACAATCTGTTTTGCCTTTCCCACCCCCCAGCTGAGAGCCAGACAGGACGAGAGTTGAGTGACAAAGTTCTTCAAGACATACATTTCAGAAGAATTCAGTGTCATAAAGACCTTAATAATTTCACAGCGTCACAAAACCGGCCATTTCCACTTATAATAAAGCCGTAAGAGGATCTCTAGTTTGCTAAAACCTCTGAGAAATACTATGGAAATTGCAAGAAGTGTTTCTTCTTCAGACAGATAAATCTCACTCTAGAACTGAAAAATACAGGGGGAATTTGTTAAATCAACCCAGGGATGATGACACAGCCAGAATTTCCTACCCAGGGTATAGAGATGCAACTGGGTTTCTGCCTGGTCTGGGTACGTGAAACCTGAATGTACTCACTGCACAGCGAGCGGGAGCACCTCACCAGCACAAAGGGGGCGAGGTAGCTTTCGCTCACCACAGGGTACCAGGGGCTTACATATTCACATGGCTAAATTCAAAGTGTGTTAAAAATTAAACAGGAAAGTCTGCTTGTGCCATTGAAGTCTTCACGGCCAGGTGGGGTTTTGCTTTACAAAGCGAAGAGTTAAATGTCTATTAGTATCTAACTCACTGCTCAGGAACCTGTAAAATCCCTTTCTGATCATTTAAAATGAAACATACTATCCACCAGATTCCCCTACTTGCTCTATTGAATTTGAATTTACTGTATTAGTAAGAAAAAAAAAAGTTTATTTCCCTTTCCTCCCACAGTATCATCTAGTTTTCCATTACTACAACGAGAAACTGCCAAGAAAATGAAGCACAGCAGACGCTGCTTATCTTCTGGTTACATCTTAAAACTTTGTTCCAGCGGGATCGTATTTAGTCCTCTCAAATGCAGAGCAGTATTTCATCCCGTCTCGACATCCCAGCAACGACATTTTATAAATATTACGAGTTTCTTGGACGCCCTTCTATCCATTCTGCGCTGAGCAAAGCAGCACCAGAAGAGCAATGATTTCCCTGCTTGGGATTTTTTTTTTTTTTTTCAACCTTAAATGTAACCAGGCCTCCTTTCAATTCATCTTCTCTAGGGTTTGGGCTTTTTGGGGTTGTTTGGTTTTTTTTTTGAGACCCCTGGAAGTCTCACATGATTTTTTTAAGTTGTAACAAGTGTGAAAATCTTTGATAAAGGGTTGTCTTTATCTAAGTGTTAAGATCTCATTGAGAGGTGTTAGAAATGGTGTTAGAAATCAACAAACAAGCCTTTAGAGCAGCCTAGAAGTCTTCTCAAATATTCTAGAGATGCCTCTCCACCTGCTCTCCAGGCAGGACAGGACCTGGATTTCTAAATCCAGGAGGAGAAAACAATAATTAAAAGTAGTAAATAAACCTGCACAGCTCTTGAGACAGTGGGGGGGTGGGGAAAACAGAAGAGGAGGAACAAACTTCCTCATCTTCACTTCTGCACACTCTCGCCAGGGTCAGCCCATCTAACCCTTCCAGACAGTCCAACGTTCAAGCAGGTGAGGTTTTACAAGAATAATTACCTTGATTGGAGAGTTACCTGTGGTAAAATTCCATTTGTAGTAATAATCAAACACTAAGTATTTATTATACCGATATACTTATGTACTTAATGGCTATTTTCAGGTTTGGAAAAGAACTAGTATGCAAAGGAAATGTTTCCAATTCTGCAAACCCTTCTGAAGAGCAGAGCTCCTCAACAAACACAGTGTAAAACATTCATGGGTACAAAGGAGCTTCTTCATTTCCACTCTTAGGGCGAATTTGCTCTTAAAAAGCTAAGTATCTGCAAGGCATTTCAACCTGAATTTTCAAATTATTAAAAGAAATCCAGTGATAATCTCTAGCACTCTTTTCTTCCCCCCGTATGTAGTTTATAAAGCCACACCAATACAGAACTACCGCAGCTATTACAGAACCAAGGACATGGGGGTATCGCTAGGAAATGCATACTTGGATTTTTTTTTAAATTCTTCCAAGTCTACAGTTTTTGCTGCAAGGCAACACGGGAAAAAAATGGAAAGGCAACATATCAACCTTTTAAATGTTAGCAGTGACAGGGAACGAGAGGCAACCGAACAATACCACTCATCGTTTCCCAAAGCATTTTAAAACGTGCCCTGTAAATAGCAGTTGACCTTAAAATTTGCTTCTTCCCTCACTCAAGCAAATAGAAGAGCTACTCCTGCACGCAGGCAGCAGGCAGGGGCACAGCAAGGCCTCGTGTCCGTCTGTACATCCCCACTCTGCCTTGCTAGTGCCCTACGGATGCTGCGCAGATCCGCCACGGAAAATAATTAACAACAGCAACAGCATTCCCCTTGGATCTGTTTCGTGCCAACTCAGCCTTTCCACGTTTCACGCCGGTTTACTTCTACATCAGTGAGTAACGCTTTGCCACGAAACACCTTGTATTTTCACAGCCCGGGCTCACAACTCCTCGCCGAGCCTCAGGAAACGACCCGCAAAGCCCACGGGACGGTCGCTTTGGGTCGGACGACAACCCGCAGCGGCCTTACCTGTCGCTGCTGGTACTGCTGCTGCTGCTGATGGAGTCGCTGCTGGAAGATCTGCTCCTGGATCCGCTGCCGCTGGGGGAGCGGGTGGGTCTGGACGCCTGGCTGGCCAGCCTCTGCGGGGACTGGGTCCTGGACTGGGACGAATGCGGCGACCGACTCCTGCTGTGCTGGTAATTCCTCTCTGGCCTTCTGCCTCGTACCTCCCGTGTAATATCATCCCTGTAGATATCCCTGTGTACCACACTGGGCAATGTAAACTGCTCCCGGGCCCTAGGTTCATAACGGGGGTCGTGAGCATCAAAACGGTTTGGACTTCGACTCCGAGAAGTATAATAGAGCCCGTGTTGTAAAGTCCGCTCTCGAGGATCTCTATAGTAATCCTGATCGTAATGTCGTGTCCGATCAAATCCTCCCGTCCCCCGCTCATGGTGTCCATAGGCACTATGTTCATAAGCACGCTCCCTGTTATCTGAAGCCCTGCATTTAGGAAGGGGGAAAAACACTTCCATCAGAAAGGGGCAAGCACAACTAAAAGCAAGTCATGCAAACATTCACGTCAGCACTGAACTTATTTTTGCGACTGCTTCTCCACTAAACAGCAATAACCTACCAAGCAAACACTGACAAACTCAAAAACATTTTACTTGACTCCAAAGTTATATTCATATACGATAAAGCTGAGCAATCATTTTGTTTTAATCACAATATTGGGCTTTCATGACCAGCATCTTGCCTGCACAGGAAAAAAATACTGCTTTCCTGTGCAGAATCCTTATGTAAGTTGTGTTTATTTTTTTTTTCTTTGAAATTCATTAAACAAGAAAAACTTCATGTTTTGTGGATATCATAATTAACTTTCCCCCCCCCTCCATTTTTGCTTAAGAGCTTCAAAATTTTTTCTGGAATTTGGTAATTACTGGAGCTCTTCTAATTATCCTTCTGCAAAAATGGCACCGCAAAATGGGCTGTAGCCATGAAAGCCTCCGTGCAAAGCATATGATCCAGAGGTAAGAAGCTGCTTTCAAAAGGGGTAGCATAACCCATAGAGAAGAGCCAGAAAATTAAGAGACGTTCTTGTCGTTGTTCTAAAATATTTCATCATCCTCTTAGAGGGAATTTTGCTTTTATCAAGTCTGCTACACTAGATTCTTGTCAAAGCTGCATACGCTAAACAAGCACCTTGATTACTAATCTCATGGCACTTAAAGGGCAAGGATGCAGGCCCCCAAAAGATACTAAGACCCTACACAAGGGGTATCCATTAAATTTTGCAGCAGGTGTTTTTGTTTGTTGAGACTGCCATTGTTACTGCAATCACAGGATTTACATCTTCACAAGCACGCTACTGTCAAGTAGCTACGGTCCGTTTTGTTTCAGGGTTTCAAACATTTTGTGTGTCAATTGAGAAGGGCTCTATGTGCTAAGAAAGTTAGTGTGATCTCTCAAATAAAGAGACAGTAAAACTGACAGATACAGTTAAAAGAACATTACAAATAGTTTAGTAGTTTAATTTAGACAAGTACCAGGACGGCACGTCTAAGTTACATCTGCAAAATGGAAGATCAAGAATTATTACACTGAATGTTTAAAAAATACTCGCAGAATTCTAAATATGTCAGGGTAGGCAAAGTTAAGTTACAAATTTAATTATCCATCTTACGAAGGACAACTCAACTTCCTTTTTTGTTTTGTTCCAGCCTTCTCTCTCAGATTCTTCCTTCAGAATCAATTATTAGTCACTTCAATCCCCTGAATCCTAATAACCCAATTCTGCCTTGTGCTTCCTCCTCCTCTCCTGCATCACAGGTCTGTCTTCTATTTAAAATGGCAGAAATATTTCAGGAAGCTTTTACAAACTGAAAATGGGAACTGAGTCTTTTTCGATTAGCATCTCAGGAAGTTCCTTCCATTCCTTCTCCAATGAATCACTAGATCTTTAACGCTCTAAATATACTCATCCTCTCTTGTTAAATCATAACTCATTTTCAAGCTTTCTACAGAGCTAGCTCGTGTTTCACCTGCATTTTTTTCTCTCAAATTATACGTAAGAAACTACCCAAGCAGTGCAACAGAAATGTCATTAATTTATATATCCGCTTGAAATTCATTGTTGCCTTTCTGTTTTCATTCTCTTTTTTCCCCCCTTTTGAAGGACCAAGATCAACAATTTCATAAACGATTGCGTTTAGCATCCTACAAAAGTGTTAATCAGTGAAAGCTGATTTAATGAGGTAAGAGAAAAAGCAGTATTTTCTAGAGGGTTACTGCTATATAGCTGACATAAAAGAACAAAGTCCTTATCCATGAAAAGGACACAGAAGACAGACAGAGGAGCTAGCAGAGCTGAAAATCTAATGGCTACAGCACTTTTTTTTTTGATTTATCTATTAGTACTAAGTACTACTGGAGTTAGTGGAAAGAGAGGGTTTGACTTGGGTTAGGAGAGGGGCTAATATACACAGGGCAGGACATACCAACCTTTTCCAAGTGTGGAAACACGACCTATATTCCCAATTAAATCTAGGGAGAGAATTGTGAACATAACTTCCCCAATTTTGGCCCCTCTTACAGGGGTAATCCACCTTCTTAATGGGCAAGGGTGTCAAATGATATTTTAGATGAACCAACAAGGAAAAAAAAAAATCTTAGTGACAAGACAAAAAAAAAAATTCCACTGGAAGGAAGCAGTCCCAGACTGAAACCATAACTCTGAAACCCCCAGACTTCTTTCTTGAGACAGTAGGCACTTAAATAGATCCATTATTTTAATTTCCAGCCCTATGTCTGAATCAAGCAGCTGGTAGAAGATCACCCAATGCACGAGGGCACTCATCGCTGCTGGCCAGCAGGCATCCTCTAGCCGCCTTTGTAACCATCCAGACCAGTCATTTTTCACTGGCGTATCCACAAACTGGTGTTAGCACCACGTCCTTAAAACTAAAGTATGTTTAATGTGGAGTAGCAAAGAGCTTTTTAAGAGACTAGATAGTAATCCACTCCCCATGGCTACTGGCGTCTTGACTGTATACCATCCAATAAATTCAAGGCAGTAGTTCTTATCCCAGCATTAAAAAAAAGACACTATAATTTCCAAAATTTAGTAATGTCCATCATCTCTTTTTGCCAATACCATCAGAAAGAATAATCCCAATAACTTGGAAATGATGTAGATCCAAAATGGAAACATCACAAGCTGCCTTCGGTCTTCTCCATCCAAGCGTTATTTCCATGGCTAAGTGTTGTCTGTAGAATCCAAGGGGCTGCATCGTTAAAGTCTACTAGAAATTTTGTGGTGACAATCCAATTAACATACCAACTGCGTATAGTGAGAACTGAGAACTAGGCATCAAGCTTTCACAGAATTTTAGGTTCTAGTATTCCGAAGATACTCCAGAGAGAACTTCACCACATGTTGTAGAGTAAGATAGCTCCATCTGGCAGCAGGGATACATCCGAGCAAGGATTTAATATTATCCAAGAAATGGAATCATTACTTCTAGGAAAGAGTAACTCCAATATCGATGCTGGCCAAAGGAAATCTTCCATCTTAAAACCACCTTATTTCAAGTGTAGATATCCAACCAGCTGCAGAAAACATCCTCTATGGATCCACAAGGTACCAGCCACTGGGATAGAAATCACTTCCGTTTCCAACCCAAAATAGGAAACATAGATAATTCCCAAAATTTTAAATCCATCTGGGGGCCCTAGATACGAGTTTGTGTTTCTCACCACATCAAATACAAAATACCTGCCTAGAGAAACCTTGGAACTTACCCATCAAGTCTCCGCTCATAACGTCCTTCCCGTGCATGAAGCGATGGTGGGGGGCCGTAAGTGGGCCCCCCCCCACCTCCTCTGAACCCAGAAACCTCTCTACTACGAGATGCTATGGAAACTGTATCATCCAATCCCCGAGCAGCACTGGGAATGGTTCCTGGTTCATTATAATCCGTCCGTAGGTCTCTATCTCCCATTTTGTTGACAGAGTTGTGTGCCTTCTGCGCACTTTTGATGTCCACAAAATCCACAAACGCTGCCACTCCGCCTTCCGACCCCCTCTTAGGGAGTATTTTGACACTTTCGACACGTCCATATCTGGAAGAAAAGCAAAGCAGAGCACATACGTTAGCACTGGTAGAAAAAGACTGCATTTAATAACATTGCCTCCTGCAAAATCAACAGCAGTTCAAACCATTCGCCCTTTTCCCATACGGCAACAAAATCAATCTCAAAGCACGGCAGAGGCTGGAAAACACGTTTTCAAATAAAGGCAGAAAGCCATTTAAACTTTCAATCATTGCATTTAAAACTCTTCTCCTCCGGTGAGCCTACCAGGAGATCACCTTTTTTGTAACAACAGAGCCACAGCAGCTCAAGAAATAGAAAGGTGTTCGCAATTAGAGCAGCCCTTCTCATCTTTAATCTGATGAGCAAGACATAATTAAAACAAAACTGTGTCACGACAATAAAAATAAAGACATCCTGACAATTTTCTGAAGAAAAAAAAAAAATGACCTTGACACAGCAAGTCCACTACTCCCGTCTATATTTAATCCATTCAGCACTAAAACAAGCATCTTTCTTCTGATCCTCGTTCCTGATCTCAAACCCGTTTATTTACAACAGCCTCTCAGGACACGGGTGAAGCGTGGCCAACCTGAGCACCCCCAGAGCGGGCGCTGCTGGGTTCAGCGTTCCAGCCCCCGCCGCGGCCCAAGCAGCACAACCGGCACGCTGAGGAAAGCTGATGGGAATGTGACATCACCCTACTTAATGTATGGTAAGTAATTGCAAGACAGGCACTTACAGATGAGTAAATGTCTACGTAAAAAAAATTTAAAAAAAAAAAATAAAAACAAACATGTTTGTGCACAGAAGAAAACATGACGTCAAAATGTTTTTAAATAGCTTGCATCAACTCATAGCGGAAAGGATAAAACGGGAAGTGTGAACACAGCGACGTTTCAGAACAGCCAAGAACTGCAGGTCGCATTTCGGTTGCCCGTTTCTCTCAGCCAACAGATTTTGAGCAAAACAGGTTAAGGGTTTTTAACTGCCACTGTTAATCCATGACAGGAAGAGGCAAAAAGCATATTTTTGAGTGCACTGACAAAGGGGAAAGGGACACACAAAATAAAAAATTAATCAAGAAACATTTGTAAACTCTGTGAAGACTTACTGCAAAAAATGTTCTGCTCACAAAGGCAGCACAACGCTGAACAGATGTAAACAGATCTTAAACAAGAAAAGCTGTTTCCAGCTATGCACGTAGGAAAAAGCAAATACAACTGCTGGTCTGAGGAGCAAACGCTGTCAGAACCTGCATCTGACTCCGGTTTACGCATGGCTTTCCATACACCTTAAAATTTCATCAGTGTGGTTGGATGACTAATCTTTAAACACGATTTGAAAACCTGCCTTGCTGACTGCTGGCTTCTCATTCCAGCCTGACCTACTATACTTTATATATGATCTGGTTTGGATTTAGATCTCATTTTCCTCTGGGTTATACCCCAGTGAATACGGCACACTGTCCGTTGAGGAATACGTGCGCAAACAAGAGCATCTTTCAAGTCAAAAAGCGCCTTGTTAGGCACAAAAAGAGACACATATGCACGTGGGACACATTCTGTCCAGAGCAGAGCTGGCCGCCTTTGTACTCGTGGGTGCAGCACGGTGACGTTAATTCTCAGGAGTTTCCCAACTTGTGATACTGAACTGAGGCACCAGTTATTTTTTATTCTAATTAAAAGTGGCAAAAACCAAATAATGGTGAGTGGTACTGCGGGAAAGATACTTCCCAAAGTCTGCACTCTTCTGAAGCTGGATATGGTTATCTTCCCTTGAAGGCAAGATTTAGAAAGACCAGAAAAAGTAGAGGATATGGTTAATAAAATCTGTGTGAGGAAAAGATAGGCCTAATTGGATGTGGCACATGTAGAGAGAGAAGAAACAGGAAAGGAAGAAGGGGGAAGGAAAACAGGAAAGACCCTATTTGAAAAAAATGTTCACGCCATGAACGAACATGACAAAAAGTAAGAAACATAATTATGTATCCTTGTTAACATCACCCTTTAACACGCGTTTCAGTGCCAGTTCTCCACAGACAACAAAGGAAAGATGCAACAGGACAGAGGGCTCTAACTCTCACATCCCTCCAGGTTTTCTTCTAAATAATGCAGTTACAGAAGTGACCAGTTAGGACACGTACCTGCCTCTTGCTCACTGATTACACATTCATTTTCTGGCAACACGAGCCCATACTTCGTC